CGGACAGGGCCACGGGGAAGTAGCTAGGGTTAGAAATTACCGAGACGCGGGAAACGGACAGGGCCACGGGGAAGTAGCTAGGGTTAGAAATTACCAAGACGCGGGAAACGGACAGGGCCATGGGGAAGTAGCTAGGGTTAGAAATTACCGAGACGCGGGAAGGTAAAGACACACCTGGTTTCGGCCTCAAAGGAAACCAGCTTTGGGCTGATTCTGTCCCCTTTCAAATTTAGATGATTCCTTTTTGATTGTGCATTATAGGAGAAGACCCAGCTAAGAGGGAGAGCAGCTTGGGGGTGGCAGGGAAAGGGCACCCTTCTCTTTCTCTTCTCAACTATGAACCCCCATGTGTCTGTTAGCCAGAATTTCCCACTTGTCTTTAAAAGAAGTGTCCCAGGATTCCAACTCTGGTTTCTAAAAGAGCTTTTCACAAGATCAGAAGTTGTCACAGCTCCTTTGGAAGGCAATAGTTCAAGTTTTTTATTTATTTTTATTTATGCATCTTTATTATTTTTATTTATTTATTATTTTATTATTATTTATTTTTTTATTTTTATTTATTTATTTTTTGTTTTCCACCAAGAAAATGCGTTTATAGGCAAATGCCCATCCACACGTTTTCAGATTTGTGTTATATTTTTCTTCTCCAACTTGTTTCAGCAATAAAAAAGTAAGCCTGTTCCTATAAAAGTGTGATGATTGTAAGTTTTCATACTAAAGATGATTCAAAGAAATACTTTCGTTCAAAATAACCCTTCATTCCACGTGAACATTAGCACATCTGTGCCTGAGACAGGGTAAAGCTCACTTACCGTTGGGGGAAGCCTTGTTGCCCCAGGGTCTGGCTGGGGTGGGGGTGGGGGCGTGTCACAGAGCCTGCCTCACAGTTTCCAAAGTCCTGAACCGACTGTCTAACTGGACATGAGCTAAGGGAGGAAGATGTGATGGCAGGAAGGTAGCCACCTGCCAGGGGAAGAGGGGTGCTTGCTGGGAAGGGGTGTGTGAGGATAGTGAGGGGGTACACAGACAGGAGGGGTGTGGGTGGGATCAGGAAGAGGGTAGGGGTGATCCATGAAGACAGGGGGTGGGCTGTGAGGACCCATGAGGAGACACATGGACTGGACACTGTCTGAGAAAGGCCAAGTCACGATGCAATTTGGAGAGACGGTTCGGTTCCTTTCTCATTTCTCGGGGGACCAGCTGTGCTCCCACGGTCACTCTCCCAGCATGTCCCAAGTGGGAAGTTCCAGACAGGCCAGCTCCCCTGCGGCTAACTTGAGTGACTGGTGAAGACCCTGGGTCTCTAGGGCTGCATCCACCCTCCAGCAGCTGAGACGCTTCCTCCTGGCCGAGGAGCCGGGTGGGCTGGTGGCAGGAGTGCAAGGTTATGGGGGCACCTTGGTGGCCTCGCCATCTGTGGACCACACCCACTGTGCCAGCAGCTAAAACCTGGAATGGTGTCAAACCACACTGTTGTGGGTCCTGCTGCAGGGAGCCTGGCCCCTCCGAATGCCTGTGATGCGACCTGCGGGGCTTGGGCGTCCTGTAGGCAGGGCCACCACTGTGGGAGCCACCACAAGCATGTCATGGATTCACACTGGTGAACACAGAGCCTCTGGGAGGGCATCTGACCACAGGCAGGAAGATGATCCATGAACCCCTCACAAAAAGACTGAGAGCAGTTTGTTAAAACTGCAGACAAGCAGACAGTTTTTCTCTTGGCATGCAGCGGTGACAGGAGCATTCTGTTAGAATGTGGGTGATGTAAATGGAAGGTCGGAGTCCACCCAAAGGCCCCTTGGAAGAAAACCCTTGTGATCTCCTTGTGCAGGATCAGCCACGGAAACGGACACAGTCCTCAGACATGCAAGATGTTGCATGTGGCAGAATCACTTCGGTACCAGCTGGCAGTGGCAATGACAGGAATCTTAGGGCAGAAATAAAAACGGCCCAGGCAGCGTCTTAAGCATGCACAGGCTGCGAAGCACACCATCCAACACTGCGATCTTTTGGCCCCAAGAACTGATCAGATCACGTTCCTAACAGTCAGGTCTGGCATGAAAACTGCATCACCAGTAGTCTTCAAGTGCCTGAGATGGGGCGATGGGCATTACGAAAGAGGAAAGGTCCCCACAACTAAAGTGTCCCTCCGCCTCCAAGGAGGCATCCTGGGCATGCACTAAGTACATTTCAAAAAGACAAGCCAGTCCTTCCTTTCAACAATGGACTGTAAGTGGATTGAACTCTTCCCTCAAAATTTAAAGATTGGCTAAATGGATAAGACAACATGATACAACCACATCATGTCTACAAAGAGACCCACTTTAGATCCAAAGACACTGGTAGGCTGAAGGTGACAGGATGAGGGGAAATTTCCATGCAAACATTAGTCCAAAGAGCAGGGGTGGCTACATTAGCAGTAGACACAACACACTGTGGTAAGTAAGAACTTAAATAATCACCCAGAAGACAGAGTCATAATGAAAGCACCTGGCATCAAAGCCCAGACATACATGAAGCAATTACTACAGAATTACAATGGTTGGAGACTTCAACACCACTTTCAGTAGCAGAAAATCTAGACTGGTCAATGGGAAACAACTGGAATAACAGTTGTTGTAAATGAGACCTCATACAACACCCCACCAAACTACAGCAAAGCACACATTCCTCTCTAACACACATGGCCCTTTCTCTCCAGGACAGACAATAGCATAAGTGGCATGCATTTAAATAGGTTGAAATCATACAAAGAATCTTCTGCAAATGCAATCAATTAGACTAGAAATCAGACGGGAACTTGAGGAATTCACACATTTGAAAATCAAGCAACATCCTGTTGAATGACCCAGGAAGTCAAGCACCAATCAACAGGCCAGTTAGAAACTAATGAAAACCCCAACAGACCCCATATGAAGCTACCCCACAGTACTGAGAGGGGAATTTACAGCTGTAACCACCCCTCTTAAAGAGGAAGATCTCAAGCCAATGGTCCAGCTTTACAGCTGGAGGAACTATACGAAGAGGAAAGTATGCCCCAAGCGAACACAGGGAAATGACCCACACTGACCCACAGCGTCAAGTCAATTGACCCAAACCCCAACTGCCGATTGTACAGAAATGGAAAAGCAAGCACCCCTGAAGTGTGACATCAGTCTTGAAAAATAAAAAGCCAAACTCAAAACTCTCAATTTCAATGTGTGTGTAAAGCTACAGCACTCTAAACATTGTGGTGCTGGTGTGCCAGGACAGGCATATAGGCCTCTGGAATAGAGCTGAGTCCAGAAATAACCCTTTGCCCCTATATCCAATTGGTTTCCACAAGGGAGTCCAGGCCATTTGTTGGGAAAGGCCTCTCTTCAGCAACTAGTGTGGGGCAGCTGTGGAACCACATG